AAAGAGAAAACAAAATGAAATTATGAGGATTGCCGGTGATAATGATAAAACTATTTTATAATTATTTATATTACAATTAAACCAAATTCTCATAATTTATTTAATTGCAACTTTTTTAACCAAATATTGTGTTGCGTCATATATTTACAGAAAAATTTATTACGACATGACACAATTATTTTAATAAATTAAATTATTTAAAATTACTTCAATATTTCAATGGTCCGGATGTATTCGGTAAAATTCATTTCTTCAGTCAAACTAAAAAATCGATGATCAAAATGTTCAAATAAAAATTACGTTTCATATTATTTCAAAGTGGATCGTACAAGCATCGTTTTAAAAAGGAGATAAAAATTATAAATAATAAATGACTAATATTTTTAATACTTAAAACAGTATTTTATATAACATTGTATTGACCAATAATCAATTATAACAGCCTTTATTTTCTACTTATTGTTGCCTGACAAATCTCTTAGGGTCACTAGAAAATTTATAATAATCTTATTGGAAAAACCGTCGAAACTCGAAATCATCGTCAAAAGCCAAAACTATATTGTACGCTGCCAACTAATTAAATCAAAACTATGTATGGTATAATATATAATATTACAATCGAAGATTTTTCATAAGCTTTTTTATAATACATCGTTAATTGTCTTAAAATAAATTTCTTATTAGATTGTTGTAAATTTACTTTTTAATAACTCTGATTTCTTCTTGACGTTGCCATTTTAAATTTCGCGAAGTATTCAAAATAACTGTCTCTTTCATAAAATAACTTGCTTTTTTTTACATAAAAAAAAAATCTATTAACTTTCGAAAATAATGAATAAAAATTTTATCTAGAAAAATTTATTTTAAGGTTTTCAAGTATACGAGGTATCACGAATTGATTGAATGTTTGCGCATTGCTTAAATACGCAAGTTATTAAATCTTAAAGATTTCGGATATTTCAATGGGAAAATCCTCATATTTAGATTTCTTTATGATTTTGGCAAAAATTATAATTTAATTAAAATTTAATCACTGATTTACCTTGTATTAACATTACTGCATTACATAATTTAAAATATTTTTTAAAATAAAAAAAGGAAATAAATTGTCAAATTTAACAGTCGAGAAAGTTGTTTTAAATTTAATAAAGGAGAATTTAAGTAAGTGTAAGAAAAAAATGTGAAGTGAAGAATTTATCTTTTTTTAGTCCACAATTGGTAAATCAGTTAAGATAACTAAAAAATTTAATTAATAATACGAGAGAGAGGAAAAGAAAATCTATTGAAAGGAGAACTAAATTTACAATTGGTATGGATCTACATCTTTACTTTTTTTTTTCGAAGAATAAAAAAAAAAATACGAGAAAATATGTTTCACGGTAAGCAGTGGTCAACCATTTGGTTGGGATGGTATCACCCGGCTTCGAATTTGCTGTCACTAGACCTGAAAATAACCGGCAACAAGGTTCATTCTTGGACCGTTAGTGACTGTAAACCTTGAGTATCATAACCAGGCTTAATTCTGATGAGAGGATTAACAATACGACCGTGAGCCGAAACTTGTCATCAAAAGACGATCAAATAGGTAGAAAACGAGAATGATTTGTTTAAAGAGAGAACATCGCAGATTTTTCTGATTGAGAAAAACATTTTTTTTTAAAGTTGATTGGTTTTAAAATAAAAAAAATACAGTTGTTGTCTTTGAGGCTTTGCTCTTAAAACACATATATAAGGGATTAATTTACAAGGGAATTTTTAAAATTTGCTTTATTATGGGTGATTCTTTTAGCGAGATTTTCTGATCCAAAGAAAACGAAAGCTATAGGATAGAGTTTTGGAGAGAGGTGGGATGCGTTCATATAGAAATTTCTTTCCCTACAATTTATTGAGATTTTGATCTTGATCAACTTCTTAATACCTGAATCTGTTTTTATTTTGCATTTTTACAAAATATATAATTAATTAATTTGTAGATCAATTGGCAACACGACACGAAATTTGAACCAATAATGGTAAGTGATAAGATATAAAGAGGCGCACGTCGCGTTAAAAAATAAATAAATAAATAAAAATCTCAGCTTGTTTACACTCTTAGGGAGCTTAAGATGTCGAACTTAAAAACAAAGAATTTTAATTACAAGTCCCGGGTGCGAAAATTCTCGACGTCTTGGCTTGAATTTTAAGTCACGTGATTTATATTTGTCTAACAAATTGACATGCATCTCATTTTTACAACATATAAATTTAACGCACAAAAAATGAAGTATTTTTAATTTAGTTTTGCAATTTAATATTAATTGAATATGGCTTGCAAGACATATAAAACGCTTAAATTGAGGTTTATTTTCATATTAAGTTATTTACTTCTTCAAATAGAATCTTTTACTCCTGTGGGACGTTATGCACATTCATCGGTTATTGTTGGAAATAAAATTTATTATTTTGGAGGATTTAATGGTAATAATTGCACAAATGAAGTATTCTATCTTGATGTATCTCAAAAATTCGATGTAGGGCTTCCGTTGTGGACAGATCTTACGTTAAATTCAGGAATAGGCTTTAGAAGTTGTTGGGCAGCTGCTGCACTAACTAATATTGATAATAACTCGAATATATACTTAATTGGAGGGTTAGCGCTGAATAAAATTGATGAAGATTCATTCACTACACTGGTATACTCATTTAATCCAAAATTAGGGCAATGGAATATGCCTGTAATTAAAGGAAAAGTGCCAGAAAGAAGAAGAAATTTTCAAGCTATTCCCGATGAAAATGGAAATATTCTATGTTTTGGAGGATGTTCGACTAATTTAGAAGGAGATCGTATATTTTATGATGATATGATAATATTAAATACTAGGGATATTATATGGTCGTATGGTTCTGTTGTCAACGCGCCTTCAAATCGAGATATTTATACTGCAACATTATTATTAGATGGTAGGATCGTATATATTGGGGGTCGAGAACGAACTGTTGCTGGTATTCTACGTGATGTTGATATGAATCAAATTAACATTTATGATACAAAACTCAACGCTTGGTCAGTAATGGTAAGTTATTATATTATAGATAATATATTTATATAATTTTTTTTTAAAAAAAATTAATCAAATCTAAATAGCAAGCAAAGAGTGATGTCATAATTGCATCTCAAGATAAGCACTCGGCCGTATTAGGTATGACATCTTCCTTCAAAATTTATTTCTTAAATTTCATGACAATTCATTTTATATATTATCATTAGCAACAGGTGGAAGAATTATCATTTATGGTGGGGAATCTAATTCTGCTAAAGCTTTTCCAGATTTGGCAGTTTTAAATACTCAAACAACTCCATTTGAATGGACAGTTCCACCAGTATTATCAAATATTGGCGAAGTTCCATCGCTCGCAGCTCACTCGGCAAATCTAATTGGAAATTATATGATTGTGGCTTTCGGTAAATAATTATTTATATTGAACCCTTGTACTTAATGCCCTTGATATTAAAAGTTTATTTATTTAATAATAGGAAATATTACTACATCACCATTTAAAAATATAAATTCACAAATTTATTTGTTAGACACTAATAATTATACATGGGTTGATATATTTGAACCTGAACCTGTATTTCCAAGTCAAAAATCACCTAATGCTTATCCAGATAAAACTACAACTTCCGATTCTCCAAAAATTGCAATAATTGCAGCAATAAGCGGAATTTTAGGTACCGTAATAATCATGACGATCGGATTTTTTGGCTATAAATGGTATCTAAAGAGACAACAAAATGACATTATGAAAATTCCTGGTAATATATAAACATTAAATTGATATATTTATATTTAAAAGATCTATAAATTATTTGAAAAATAACGTAAATATCATGGAAGAAAATTTGCTTAAAATTTAAAACATAAAATTCAAATTATGCATAAAATCATGTTTATTATAAACAATTTAAAACTACAAAATAAAGACCTATGCATTAATTTGATCAAAACTACTAGGTTTTCAAGAAATTCCGACAGTTATCTTCACTATTCTTCCCTCAAGTATTTATTAAATAATTGGATTTGAAATATTATTTTCTGATGCATGATTTTCTCTTCTGATTTTAGACATCTATAAATTAAAATTCAACAAAGTAAAAGAATAATAAATCCTATGATTGAATATATTTTGCACTAAATTATTAACTACATTTTTTAGGTTTAGACGTATCAATTTTATGACCTGTCATGTTAAATGAATCCAACCATTTAAAATTTCTAACATTCATTAAATAAATATCGGAATTATTAAGTGCTAAGGGTAATGTTTCCTCATATATTATCTGTATGAACGGAACCGTACCGACAATTGAAGTTACATTTGGTTCATTTCATTCAAATGGTTGAATGCTTGTATCTAATACAGTAGTATCTGTAAAACCTCGAGCATCTAAAATATTATCAACTACTTTAGAACCTCCATAAATATTTGTTTGACCATATGGGGCTTTTTTAACAATGTTAATACAGCTGTAAGACCAGAATGATTTTCAATCGGATTTGAAAGACTTGCCATCTATAAATCATAAACATTTAAAAATAGAATAAAAAGATTATCTTTCAATATTATAAAATAGAATGCATGCATACTTTTAATCACCAGGTTAACAAATTTATATCATAAAGTTCGAATTGGTCAATATCTACATTTCTGATTTCCCGTTCTCATCAAATTCATAACTTCAATATATACTATAAAGCTATTTGGCAATAATGTTCTGGTATATGAAGCTTTCTCTTGGTGCGTCAACTGAAGAAGTAATGGTCTATGATAAAGCGACGGCATTAAAAATGATCATTTCATTAAAAACTTTGTTATTGGTGAACCAAAGGCTTCAATTGTGACTCACCAAAAATATAAAGCTTTCCATTTATTACTAACAGCTTTCGATTATCTTCGACTTTCAGTAGAATTCTGCTAATTGGTGGTTATACTTCACGTTGAAGAATTTACATTAAAACAGAAGTAAAATTTATCGTCAAGCCACCAAATAAATAAATATTATATTTTATCAAATGCAACAGTTGTCTATATACTTCCAAATGGAATGCTGGTAAGGTAAATTCATGGTGTATTTGATTCATTGAATGATTGAGATAAATCAAGATAATAAATTTCTTTTGCGAGTTAACTAATTATTTCACCTGTGCCGCAAAAAAAAAGTAAAGCTTAACTCCTACAAGGATGGAGGAATGTGCTAACATCCTTTAGGGACTACTGATTCAATTCCTAAGAACATAGAAAAATGACGAAAGGATAAAGATGCAACGATATTCTAAAGATGTACAAATGTTACAAGTCATAATTCATAAAAGTTGAATGAATACGGATTACAATTTTAATTTGTGTAATATACAATCAAAAAATATTCAGGATACATACAATAAAGCGCCTGTTTAAAAAATTATGAACTCAAATTATTATTTAAAAAAATTTAAATTTGAAAGTTTGACATGAAAAGGGTATTTACACGAACCTGCATAGTATGGTTTCGATAGTTCTATTATATATACTTAAAAACCTTGCACGTATGAATTCTTTCATAACAAATATTCCATACCTGTATGGTTCTAATGCTATACATGGGAAAACATCCATACTATACAGTACATACATTCAAATACCATACTATACAGGTTTGCTATACATCGATGTCAAAGTTGATGAACGGTGTTGAAAATTATATTCTTTTCATAAATGTACAGATCATTTTGCCAGGTTGTTATGGGTGCTAGGTTGTTAAGATGCCAGGCTGTCCTAATAATTAATTTTTATAAATACAAGCCGGAAATTCTTAAACAGCTCAATATACCACGCTCGTCTCTTCTTGCAATTTGCATACATATACATTAAAAACCTTCGCGATTTTTCGTTTTCGCCGTTTTAACATTTTAATTTTATACTTCTGTAACTTCTTTTATTTTTTTATTTTCTGATTTTCTTATTAGTTTTTATACAATTTTTCGTAATTACGCAGTTTTAATTAAATAGAGTTTTATTAATTGGCATTACGAAAGTGTAGCGCGACGAATGCTGATTAATTTGATATTATTAAATAAATTTAGCGTCAACATTACTTCATTTTTATTCAATAAAACCTTATGTTTACATTTATAATTGTTTATAAATACATAAACGAAAGAACTTAATACGACTATAGTAACTAAATAAAATAAAATAAACATTTAAATGAGGCGTCGTCCTGTTCAAAAGTCCTAGGATTAAACCTTGTAGTTTATCTATCCCAAATAATATGAGTGAAGGCAAATTTTTGTCATGTCCCAAGATGGCCAAATCTAGGGATTAATTCTTTATATTTTACCAGTTACTGAGATTAAGCAAATAACCGTTCGAAAAATTTTATAAATAGAGTTTACGTTTACATTTATAATTAAATATCTATCTATTTCCTCCCATCGTTTTTGTCTTTAAACTTTGGTAAGACAATTTGGCAAGAGGTAATATACCTTAGAGGACGGTTTGGCAAGTAAACAATTTAGCCAGACAAATTTTTGTTCCCTTTGATAGTCGCCAAAATTAAAAAAAAATTATGGAATGGCTACCAGATTAAAAACACCCTTTCTTTTAGGTGAAATCAAATTCGATGATTTTCACTCAGACGGAATTAGCGAAAATGTTTTATTAAATTTACAATTTTTTTAAAAATATACGATAATTCGAAAAAATTTTTTTTTTATGAACAATTGTATTTGTAACAACTCGTTACATGTAACAACCTTGTATTTGGTGTGTATATTTCAAACAAAAAAGCTATTTTATTTGTACTTCTAGTAAGTCTTAAATATAATAGTTGTTATAAATAAAATTATTCTTTTTTATACATAAACATAATTCAAATGAAGTAATTTATATTTTTAATGAAGGAGATTATAATCATCGTGAAATTTAAGGAATAATTACACGGCCGTATATGATCATGATACTTTGCCTGTTAAGTAATTTTTTACAGTGCGAGTTTATTTAAACTTTGTCCGTTGTATTATAAATCATAAGCTATTAAATAATAACAATGCAATATCGTATTATTAGTGATTTGATTTAAGAATTATTATTAATATTAAAGGTAAAAGAACAATTATAGAAAGTATTATCTTTTAAAAAAGCCGGAAGTGAGAAATTATTTTCCATAAATTTACTTTCGTTTATCGAAGTTTGTTGTACAGAACTGTTATGTTCAACAAAATTATTATTTTGGTTATCTTGGTGAATTTTTTGCGATTCTACAGATTATAATGATTGGTTAATTTTTATAAAAAAATGCATAAATTAAAATGATAAATATAAACCTTGATAAAAAGAAAGAGCCGAAGTGAAATTTTTGGGTTGATTTAATTGATTATCTAAAAAAAATTTGATTAAAATAATTAAATTATAGAATAATTTATATTTACCAATTTTATTAGATTGTGTTACATTAGAAATAGCTTGTATTAAATTTTTTGAACTAATTTCTTGTAAAACTTCGCGAGGTCGTTCATATGCTGCTAATCCTTTAATAGTTTTATATCTTGATAAAGCCATAACTTCTGGATCTGAAGCACAATTTGACTTTAAAATTGTAACACCAGTTTTTCATCCTGAATAGTTACTAATAAAACGATCTTCAATATTAATACCAGTAGTTTTGCATATATCACTCATAAATGAACGAAGACGATTTTGTCCAATGTGTGATTTCTTGAACCAGTTTCCAGTCCTTTGTGCTATATTAAAAAATAATAAAATTAGATTTTAATAAAATTAAAAGAATAATAAAATATTTACCATATTCTAAAGAATTTGGCTGTAAATAAAACTGCAAATCAGCGTCAACTGGTCTTTTTTTGAAATAATCATTGTAATCCTGTATTATATTAGGATCATCACCTGAGATATACAGAATATCAGCTTGTGCTTCAGATCGATGTATATTTCTCTGATTTGCTTTTGATTCATATAAACAAACAGTAAAACCACCATCATTTTTTTTTTTAAAATTTGATGCTAATAATTTATAATGCTTGCCTCCTCTAAGTAATAAAAAAATTGCATTTTTGAAAAAAACACAATATAATAACCCTTCTGGTGTAGATTTATCCAATTGAGGATGTTTAAAAATCATAGCAACTTCACTTTCACTTAAAGGAGAAGCAGCTCTTAGTTCACCTAATCCCTGCCTTGCAAGTTGTTTAAATTTTCCATTAATTACTTGCCATAACTTATAGAATTTCTCTTGATTTAATATATTTACTCAATGGATTACAGAATGTTCAGATAAATGTCGTGCAATAGCATAAACTTCAACTTTGACAGATTGTGCTTTATAATCTTTTCCATTAACTGTTCGTATTGCTACAATAAATTTAATGATTTGTTCTTCAAGTTCCTTTTCATTATCAATTTCTTCAATCTTTTCATTTAAATTTATATCTTTTCGAAACTTTTCTAATTGTATAATTCAGTTGTTGGTAGACTTATCAGTTGAAGGACAATGGCTAGAACTAACTATTGCTTATATTTCTTTAATACTGGATTCACTGTATTTAAAAGTTAGCTAATAAAAATAAAATTTAAATATTGCTAAAAATTGTTTGAAAATAAATAGCTTTAAAGATAATATATACCTTTATAAATGGTTTTTATTTTGCTTTTGGCATAATAAAAAATGTATAAATGGTAAAAGGAAGGGGGAAGTAGGAAGAGAAAGAAAGCAAATAAAATTTTATCATGATCAGAACTGAATAATTAATAGTAACTTCACGGGTTATTAGAGATTACTACACAGTTCACGTGAGCTATATTTAATTGGTTGGGATTTTGCCACTTACGTGACAAAATCCTAACCAATTAAATAAACTCCTGTGAACTGTATAGTAATCTCTGATAACCCGTGAAGTTACTATCAATTATATCATATATACTTTAATAATAAAATTAAAAAATGTGTTTATTGTACTATATGATATATATATACATGCATTGTGGTTGAACAATATATTATTTTATTTAACGAAATATCTATTGAATTTTTCAATAAGATAATTTTTAGGATTTTGTAAAAATTCTATTATATATTTTCATAGACGATAAATAAGTATTGTGAAATATAAGCTTACCTTTAACCTTGCTATTCTAATATTTTTTTTTAACAAGATTATGTGTTATTTTATTTAGTCATTCACTCAACTGCTATTTCTTTTTTCTATCCAAAGTCTAGAATAATAATCAATATATTTCTTATACACTATAACCTGCTTGACTAGATTATAATTTCTAATATAGTATTAATAATATTTGCTTTTTAAGTATATCAATATATTCATCAAGATGTAAAGCATATTTTTTTTAAGTCTCAGGATTTATTTCATTTGAGGAATTGAAAGTATACCTAAAAATTTCTTTCTATCAGAAGTCTTATCATTTCTCATTGCCTCCTAACTTGTTTTACCTATGTCTTAGATTTTAACTTGAAAATTCTCTAGACCTATTAGATAACTTTTGTACTATTAAATATGAAATATACAATCCTTTCCCTAAATTCATTATCTGTATTATGTGCATGATAACTATGTTGTGAATATACTGAATAATTCATAAAAATTGCATTAATCTTATTAGAATTAAGTGATAATACACTTTTTAATGTTTCAGATGAATTTCTTTGTGATTGGCAAAACATTTTACTTATTTTAGGTTTTAGTTTTGATTATTCCAAAACTTTTAAAACCTGGCATAATTTCTGAAATTTCTGAAATATGATGAAACTAAAAATTTCACATGTATTATTTTAATTGGTGGCTAAATTTAGTGATGTTTATCAATTTTCTAAACTTTCGATCTTTTTTTTTATATCCAAGATGTAAAGACTTTTTATAATGCGTCGTCATGTTTAATTATAAATAAAGTTTTTTATACTTTCTTTTTTTTGTGGCTGACTTTGAAAAAGATCAATTATCATTACTCTATTTTTTTTAAATATGTTTACACAAGAATTTATTTTTTCTAACTCTTCTACTGATACAACTATAATTCTAACAAAAAAAAAGAAAAGTTACTGATGGTTATCCTAAGTCTTTAATATGAAAAGAACATACTATATAAAGTAGAAAAGTATCAGAAGGTAACTATATAGCAACTTATATATACTGTAATTGCTTTTGAAAAAAGGACTCACTACAAGATTTAAAAGCATATTTCACTAATAATTGTTCTAAAGTACCGGCTGATATAAGAAAATTCTTCTTAAATCATCTTACTGCAAAAGCTAAAGGGAATATAACCAATCTTTTAACTAAAAACTGAAAACTTAATGATAGTTCAACTTAACAGAATTTCATGAAAGTAGTCAAATTTCTGAAGATAGAACTCATAAAATTAATCATGTTTATGTAAAAGCATTTGTAGTATGTAGTATTACATGGCATATAATCAAAAACCCTTTCTTTATTAAATTTTTAAAGACTTTATGTTCTAGTTACATACCTTCATCAAAAGAATTACTATCTGGAAAACTTTTATCATAAGAAATTGCAATTGTAAATATACAAGTTATTAAGAAATTAAAAAATACAACAAATTTAACATTATATATTTTATTTATTTTAATATTATTTTATTAATATTTAGTAATTTTAATTTAATTTTAATTAATCAATATATAAGCATATGACAGATGGATAAATTCAACAAATGAGTCTATTTGAAATTTTTTAATCTATATATCCAATTATAAGAAATATTTGTGATACTTAAAGGATTTAACAAGTTTAAGCTATACTAGTGAATTTTTAGCAAATACAATAGAAGAAATAATTGATAAATTTGGATTAGCTAAATTTTCAGCAATTGTAACAGATTTAGGAGCAAATATTTGAAATGTGTAACAAATAATTACAGAAAAATACAATAATATTTTTAATGTACATTGTATAGCACATGCTATTAATTTGATTTCAAAGAATATTTGCTCTACTTCATTTGCAAATCAGATTTTAATAAAATGCAATACTATTGTAAAATATTTTAAAAAAATCATCAAGGAGATAATTTGTTTTCTAATTTTATTTTTATTATTTTTTTATTTCTTATATTAATTTTATTTATTAATATTTTTAATAAAAAGGTTCTGCATTAAAAGATATAGCTAAAGCTTGTGATATCAGTGATGGTAGATTGAAAAGATAAGTAGATACTAGATAATATATTATATATAACTGTGTTGATTCAATTATGCGTTATAAAGTATCATTAAAAAATGTAAGATTTTAAAAATATTTTTAAATTTATTTTAATTACTAAATAAATAAATACTTCTAAATTTTTTATTTTTATTTAGTTAAAACATGAAAAGCCTGAAATTCTTTCAATAACAGTATTAGCAGTTTTACGATCATGCACATTTTTTGATAACACACACATATTAATTTTACATTATATTCAATTAAACCATCAATTGCAGAATTAGAATCTCAGTTTTGCACCCTTGCTGATTGCTTTCTTAGACTTGCAAAACTTGAAGTTGCAATTAAAAAATTACCTAATAATGATCATAAAACTTTTTGTCACAATGTATTTCAATCTTTAACTATCGTTATGCTGAATTTGCTAATCTAATATATTTATTATGCTTTTTTTTACATCCATCTTATACTGGTAAATTTAAATTATATTGACTATAATTTTATATATAATAATTATTAATAATTAAACTGAATACAATATTTTTATTATAAGTTATTTATTAATAATTTAATAATTGTTGAAATTATATAGTTATGTTTTTAAAATTATTAGTAATAATGTAATAAATAGAAATTTATTAAATAGAAAATTTAAATGCTTATTTTTTTAAAAAAATTAATAATAAAGTATTTTACGTGAAAATAATATAATTTATATTAAAAAATTATAATATAAAAAATAATATTTTTTTATTTTTTTTTTAAATCTATTATAACAAATAAATATTTATAGAAACTTGCTGAACACAAGGAACTTTTAGAAATTTATTAATGATAGCAGATGAAATTTTTATGAAAATGGGAAAAAATAATACTGAACGAAAAGAATTAATATATCAAATGAAAAAATATCGTAATTGAGAAGAACCTTTTGATATTAAAATAGGCGTTACTGAAATTCTATACACTTGGTGGTTTTCTATTGAGGATAATTTTCCTAAAAATGAAGATTATCTAGTTCAACTAGCATTCAAACTCTTTTCTATAACACCTCATGCAGCTGGATGTGAACGAGTTTGGTCAAGTCTTGGATGGATATATGGTAAAAGACGGACCCGTTTAGGCTTAGATAAAATTGAAAATATGTATAAACTCTCAGCCTATTATCACGCAAATGCAAAAAAAGAATTACCATATTATAGTATAAAAAAATCTACCGAAGAAATTCATCAAATTTTAGTTGATGCACATTTGAATCCTGATCAAGAACTTCTTGAATTGGAAGATGATTTACTTGACTATTATAATAATAAAGAGGAGATAGTAATTGGAGAAGAGGAAAAATTAGATATTGATAATATTTTGAACTTAGACGTGTTTGTTGGTACTTTGGGAGATATAATTAAAGATAGTATAGATAGTGTTGAGGAAGAGGTTCAGGATAATAATAGAGTAGACATTCCTATGGATGAAAATGAAAAAAATGATATTGAATGGAATCCAACTGCCGAAACTGATGAAATCATTGATAGTATGTAAATTATAAATTGTAAAATTACAATTTATAAATAAATTTTGTTATTTAGTTTTGTTTATTAATTTGTCATGTATTACAAAAAAAAAAATAAATAAATGTTTCGCCAAGTTAAGAAATTTTCGGGAGTTTGGGCAAGTTTCGCCTAGTTTCGGAAATTTCGCCAGTTATGGATTTTGCACTGATGGCGAAACAAGTTTCACCAGGTTTCGGAAGTTTCGCCAAAAGTTTAGTTTCAGTTTCGCCCAAAACACTAACACTTCCTCCTTTTTTTGTATTCTTTAGCTGTAATGCATTTCTTCAGGTGATCATTTGCACACTCTATGATATTTTCACGAATAAATACTAAGGAATCACATACAGTGCAATAAATATAAAATGAACGCCTCTCAGCTTTAAATTTCCCATCTTTATATGGTTTTTCAGTCATATGGATAAATCCATTTTTCAAAAAGTATTTTGGGTTATATTCAAGAAGTTTCTTAAATGGATAACGAACACGAGAACACCACATTTCTGGTGTTTTATCACTACCTATATTGCAGATTGTTGTTTTTATCCATTTTTACGATAGTTATAAATAATTTATAGCTTATTTTTGTGATTCTTTATCAACTTATAATATACATAATGTAGGATTCAGATTATGAAGCAAAAATGTAATTAATATCACTTGTAAAACACATGGCAGAGCCCGGACACTCGTCAAAATTGCGCAGAAAAATGGACTAATCACATGGCACAGTATATTATCGAACTTTCTGCTTTAAAATTTCGAAAATTACATAATCGGTTTCTTCCTTGGTTCCAGAAAACAGTAAATAATATAATAACTTACTTTAAGTAGGTTGAGAAGGCAGATTTGTCGGTTAATCCAGATTTTGGAACGCCAATCACTTAGTTCATGCAACTAATAATTTACTCTTTGAAAACTCACATTAAAAAGATAAAGCCAAATAATTTATTAAGTTTCATATTAGAAAAAAGTAGGTATTCTGACGTGGCACAAAGTTTACTGGACGGAAGAAGAATTCTGAGAAAAGCAAAGCGGATAGTGAATTGCACCCTAAGTAGGGCAAGGAAGCAACCTCCTCCGTCACTGGCACAATAATCATGAATCAATTTTGTTAAGCTGAATTTTCCGAATCTAAGCTAAATATTATTGAATCTCGATTATATATTACGGATGATAACTTTTTTTCGGAGTCCACCACGGTTTACAAATATGATTGTATTTACTAAGAGTGATAGGCTTGACTGTATCATCATCGAAAATATCGTCGAAATCATTATGTGATGTTTCTATATTTTCTATGGTCTTGCATATTTTCACATACATATCCTGCACAATATATTATAATAGGTTGTGATGCAAAATTCAAAATATTATTATAGATTATGTTAATGATCGGGTTCATGTAACTTCGAAAACCGTTACCCATTGGTAACGATCAAAGTCATGTGACTGAATTTTCCGAGACATTATGTCCCGGAAAAATTTTTTTGATGACAAATAGAATTCATAGGCTCACCATGACTGATTAATAACACTGACACATGTCTTCAGCTTTCCAATACTCTTAAGTTTCGTTGGCAACTCAAATTTAGGTCCGGGAAAAACGATATAAAAACCTTCCACCAGGTCTTCAATCAATAATTGTCCGCTTGTGCCAGCAAACTGTAAGAAAGGAACTCGGATATTCTTGGCCTGATTTTCATCGAGATTGTATTCTAATAAACTATTTAATATAGATTGGTTTATTCGAGCTGAACGACATCGATCACCAATTGTTTTTGTTGCTGTAGCTTTTGCGGAAAACTCACATTCTCCTACGTCAACGGGCAAAATGGTTCGCCCCTTGAATGCATAGATTATAAATTATGACTTGTGAAACGGCTATATTATTTTGAATAAAAGCAAACAATATTATACCAACCATCTTGGATAAATTGTGAGGCTCTTGTTAAGCCTCTCAACAATGTACGCACAAGCTTTTAAGATTACGTCGACTTCTGTGTGTGCACCTTTTGTAGTAAAATCTAAAATATCTTCTTTGATCTTTGCTTTTGTAAATACTGTATATGTTGAATTGTGAGAATAAGAATCACGAAAAAATAAATATCTTAGATAGCAATCAAATAACTCACAATCTCCATATATATTACTTATTTTATATAAGTAACTATTTTCGATTGAACTTGAATGGATTTCCGTACAGTATCTATATGCCTGGCTTACGTTTCCTTTATATACCATCTATATAGAGTAATGAATTCATAAGTATATGCATCCATAGACAAATAAGATAATTTAAGATAAACAAAACTCGTACATCCTCGACTTTTAGAACAAATAAATTCTCTTCGCCTATCATTTCGGGAACTCGCAACAAAGATTCGTAATCTTTCTTAATGAACTTTTTATCGTTTTCGCAAGACCACTTTTTCATGTGAGCGGATAAATCAATTATCCTTGATGCACCATATCGCAATATAGCCTTTTCAATTGCCGTTAGTCTTTTCTTATTTTTTACTGTGCGTGCGTTTTTTCGAAATAAAAGTCATCGACGTTTTTTCCCGAAGGCAAAGTCCAAACTTTTGAGTTCGAAAGGGCAAAAGAAAGAGAGTCTTCTGGAGGCAAAGCCTCTTCATCATCGTCGCTATAATCATTAGCTTCATTCGAAGGAATCCCATCACCGGTTTCATCACCTTCATCCGTTTGTGCATAATTTATAGGTGATGGCTTCGTAATCTTCGTACCGTCAGGTAACGTATCACTCTATAAAGAAAATAATTCGATTTTCCTTTTTGTGAAAGATGATTTTTTCAAGCTATTTTCCTGATTTAGATTTCTTTTTTTATGGAGGCTTCTCTTCATGAAAGCGAACTCGCTTTGTTTGTTTTTGTTCATCATGACCAGAATCAAAGACAATATTCTGACCTTCACTTGATTTATTTCGATCGTAACGAGTTGGGATCTCACTTCCAGCAGACTTGCTTCTGCTTTAACATCTGCAACAACATATGATCTAGTATCATCTAGTACTTCATAGGTAGATTCTTCGAGATGATCAAGATATTTTTCCTGGAAAGAAGATAAATATATTACTAATATTTTTCCTCATTATATGAAACAGCGGAAATAAGGCTTGTCAGCACACCTACCTTTGAATTGTTGATCTTATTTCGCCTATTTAACTTCTCTACATCTTGCCAGAAATCATGAAAAATAATATTGTTAATCGTCAAAACTCACTTAATATTAACATGACTATCAGCAAGTACAATATTTAGACACATTGAACGCGATAGTTCAACAGCGACTTAGCCTATAAAAGTCATATCGCATACGGATAGATCTTTTCAGATTGTTGAGTGCTGTGATGTGATAAAGGAAAGGTAGCCAGCATCGAACACGATAGTTCATCAACGACTTGGTATGGAAGATGATCAGATTGTCAAGTCGTTGTGATGTGGTATAACACGATAGTCAACTTGGATGCCTGCAAGCTCCAAGCCCACCTTACCTCACAGAAATGAAGCTTTTCACTTAACTGGAAAAATTTTTAAAGCAGAAACTGCCATAGATCGGTATTCGCTTGATTCACTGCCTGCAATCTTTGCCTAAAGTTTTAGTATATGTGCCATGTTCTTTCTGCTTATCTGCTGACCAATTATCTTCCATCTGACGAAATTTCAAAAAAGTTTATAAAATTCCAGTCCGAGCATTCTGAAAAAAAGTGTTTTCATTTTTTTCTAAACACGTCTACGAAGAAAATACGGTTTAAATTTGTGTTGAGCAGTTAGATTTATATGCAGGGGTGAAGGGGGGTCCAACTCAGGGACAATGATTTATTGTGATCACAGAATTTTACAGAAAAGGTGGCTTAATTTAGGATTTGCAATCATTGTAATTCCGGTAAACACTAAATTTGGGCAGAATTTACAAGTCGTAATGTTGGCCAACCTTGCTTAATTCCGGCCAAATCATAAAATTTCATAGAATTTACTTTTATCACACATAAAATTTACTTTATATTACCACAAAAATTCATCGTCCCTGAATCTGTATCTATATATCCAAAATAAAGGCTTTATCTTTATATTTTTCTTTTATATATTCATATCAGAATTCGTATATATAAAGTTTGCTAAGTCTTAAAACAGATACTTTAACTATAATGAGCTTATTGAGAATTATATTAGCTTTTTCTAAATGTATTTCTACAAATGTATTTTTAAGTTACTTAGCATATTTGAATAAAGCTTATGAATCTTATTTAAGAAAGCATTTTTGTCCTGCTTATTATTCATCTTCATGAGCTTAACATTTTGATATTTTTTATAGTTTTCTATATAAAACATTAATCTTGAATTTGAAGAAATCACTCAAGAATGTATTTTCAGCTTTTTTAGCTTTATTATATTTCTCTATATTAAAGACTATATAAGAAGCAAGCTAATTATCCTGAACAAATAATAGGATGTTTGTAATCTTATCTACAACCATTTCTAATTTATATAGTATTGAAACTCTTAGTAATAGATAACATAATCTTTTTGTGAACCATGATGTAAAACTAATTTTTCTGTTATTGAAAAGCATTCTCCATATATTTTATCTATAAACTCAGTAGTATATAAACATAACATATTTTTTCCTACAGTAATATCTTTACAATAGGAGACAAATCACTTAAATAGTTATAAATCTTCAGAAAATGTGGACTTTAATATTTAGAAAATACCTTATGAAGCATTTGCCTTAGTTTTAAAAATATATTTGAGATATTGCTTTTGCATAGCTGGATTTTTAAGTAAATATTCCTGACTAACTTCCTATTAATAATTTCTAATAGGTAAGTACTAACTTATGATCTAACTATAAAGATTTGTTATATTGATATATATTATCAGATTGTAAGTTAAGATTGATTATATACATTTCTTATTTTAGGATTATTTACTTTAAAGTAATAATATTTAGCTATAGATATTCCACTATATTTATCTTTTTAAATAAAGTTATATATAGTTATATCTATGATAAGTTCGATTCTAATACTTGTTATCTTAAGTATAAAATCCTAAAACAATATAGAAAGAAAAATATAATAACTAGAATCAAGCTTATCATATTCTATAGATATTTTTCAGAACTCTGTCTAGATATCTGCAAGACTAAATATATTAGTCTTAAAATAAATATCATAATACTTACCTAGATTCTTGCAATTAAATTTTTTTTCATACTTTTTAAGCATGCTTATAATATTCTTGGGTAATTTTACTATAACAAATTCATGAATTAGTAAAAATTCAGTTTCCTCAAATTTATCATATAAATCAATATATTTATAGGGATAAACTCCTTTATAATATAATAATACTAATTGCTTTTCTATATAGCCTAATTTTTGAAATATTGGCTTGTTATTAGGTAGTTATCATTCAAATTTTTTGTAAGTCTGATAAACTACTATTCATAAACTGCTTATTATCAATATATTTAAGCTGACTTACTTTTATAGATTTATATCATTCAAATATTTTAACTATAACTTTAATTTATTACATATTGAATGACTAATAAATTCACAAATCAAATAAGAATCATATTTCAGAAGTTATGAAAGACTATTGAAATAGGTATTTTTATGTCTTAATTTAAAGTTTAAGATTATAGATATTGTAAACTGATCTTTGAAACTTACCTGTGATATGACAGTGATCCTAAACTTTATTATTTCTAATTTTTAAGACTTTGATTTTCTTTATTACTTTCAAAAGTGTTATGATTAAGGATTATGTTCTTCTGCATTCTTAATTACTTTTTAACTTTCTATTAATGAAGTCTTTCTTTCTTTCTAATTAATTTACTTCTTTCTTATCAATAACAAAATTTTCCTTGTATATCTAGCAAACTTTTACTTTGGCAAATTTTTCTATCTTTCTTAATTTCAATTCGATTAGTCTTAATAACTAAAATTTCATTAATTTTAATCAACTCTTGATCAATTCTTTAGATAAATTTCTGTGTAATATTTTCTCCTTAATATAAAAAAGATTTCTAAATATCAATCTAACGAACTAGGTAACAGACATTAGCCTTTTGTTTTGTAAGTTTCTACATGTTTTTACTATATTTCTCATTATATTTCTTATTATTAGTCTCAAAGTCTGCTATAAAAAAACATTGAACTTCTCAAAATTATTAACTCTTTTAACAGATAAAGTAACTTTCTGAGAAGCTTTATCCAATATAAAATACCATTCCTGATAATGAACTAGAGATTTTTTTAAAGAGAAATTTTGAAAGTATCAGTTATAAAGATGCTTTTTATTATAATGCATAATATCTTTATAAATTAATCCATTTGGTTTCTTGATCTAAAAAAAATAGTTCTTTTGCCTATACTTATCTATTTTCTCAAATTTGTTAATATTTGTAAAAGCCATTAGTTAGATTATATGGGATTTTTTTCTTAGCAATTATTTAGATTATTATGCTTATAATTTTCTATTTTACATAAATTTAAAATATAGAAATTTTTATTTGTAATTATAGGTTTAAAAGTAACTAATTCTTCTTTTTACTTCTAGACATTAATAGAAATTTTAGAATTATCTCCTTAATTTATTAAATATATGTAAATAGATTAGTATAAGCATTGGAATTCCATTTAGCTTAACAATATTTAAGTATAGCTTAAGTTTCTTAGCTCTAAAAATTCGTTTAAAATATTCTATATATCTATCCTAATATGCAAAATATGTACAAGGGGGTGAAATAAATATTGAATAATTTTTATTTGATGTTTATTTATATTTATTTGCTATAGTAAATTCGTATAATATATTTAATATTTAGTATGACCTCCTTTAGCAGAAATAACTGCATAGATTCGAGAAGGCAT